GGGCTGGCTTTGAACCGCGATCCTCAGATCTCAGCCTCCTGAGTAGCTAGGATTACAGGCATGAGCCACCAGCACCCGGCTAGCGGTAGGGTTCTTGAACTCACTCTACTACTTGATCTATGCCCCCAGTCTCTTTTGTTTTAAATATTTTTTCCCAATAGCTTTTTGCCTGGGTTTAGTGTCAGACTGAAACCCTTCTAACCTACAGCATTTTGTGTAGCTAGGATTACATGTCCAAACAACCAAGTCTGGCTTATATGTAGAAATGAGGCCTTGCTAACTTTTTTTTTTTTTTTGGGTCCGGTCATGGCCTGAACTCTGGGCCTGGGCACTGTCCCTCAGCTCTTCAGCTCAAGGCTAGTGCTCTACCACTTGAGCCACGGCGCTACTTCCAGCTTTTTTTTTCTTGTTGTTATATGGTGCTGAGGAATCGAACCCAGGGCCTCAGGCATGCAAGGCAAGCGCTCTACCACTGAGCCACCTTCCCAGCCCTGCCTTGCTAACTTTTCGCTGAGGTTGAACCTAATCCTCCTTATCTCTGCCTTGTTAGTAGGAGGGATTGTTGATATTGGTAATCTGGACACTATTTTGCAAAACATGGAGATGAATCTCACAGAATATGAAATTAGTTACCTTAAGCAAAACCTACTAGTTAATGATATGTAGTGAAGGTATATTTAAATTGCCCAATAGTTGGGGAACATGAGCTTTTATGTAGCAGTCTCAAAAATGATTATTTTTACATTAAAATATAGAAAAATCAATTCTTATATTTAAATAATCCTATTTAAATATAATGTTACTCACTAGTCTTGAGAACTTGATTGTTATCTACTAATAGACTTAAGATTAAGGGAAAAGCTGATACTCCTGAAAATATCTTATGGACACAAAATATAAGAAAATAAAAACTAGAAAAATATAAAGAAAGAGAGAGACAGAGAGACAGAGAGGCAGAGAGACAGAGACAAAGAAACAGAAAGAAATACTGCCAAAGCAGTAAAGTGTTGAAATGCTGTCCTCCCAAGAAAGTAATGAGAAGTTCCTTAAGCCCTCCTTTTTCTACTTTTAAAAATTTCAAAAGAAATTTATAGCCAAATATTTTCTTATTATCTGTTACCACACGTTTGTGGTAGCAGCAATGTTTACACCAACTAGATAGAATAGGATAAGCTGTAAGGATAAGGCTTTGGTCTCTCCTTTCACTACAGACTCCTGAGACACATGACTGTTCCAGAACTATATAAAATAGAAAGATGACTGAGAATTTAATTATCTTCCTTTAGGTGTCCTAAGATCAAAGGCCCCTGAGCTAATGTAGAGCTGATTCTTAATACTTATGATTGAATCAAGAAAATTAGCAGAATCAGTGCATTCTTCATAGTGTTTATTTCCCATTTTTTTTATTTTTTAATTCTTATTATAAAAGTGGTGTACAACAGGGTTACAGTTACATAAGTCAGGTGAAGAGTACATTCCTGACCTTGCTCTCTCCCAGTTTTTCCCTCGTGTCCCCCACCCACAAGTTATGAAGTTCATTTTCAACATGTTGTCCAGTGAGTACCATTGCTGTATTTGTTTACTTTTTGTCCCTCCATTTCTGTGCCTCACCTTACACTCCCAAAGACATATAAATGAACAAACAGGAAAAAAAGAAAAACACCAGAAAACCCTTGTTTCCATTTCCAAGGACCGCATTATTTTTTAAAATGATAGTTGCTTTTTTAAAACATGTAATAAAAAGGTTACACTCAGAAATTTGTTGCATGCAGTTATAGGTTAGTAAGAGATACCATGAATCCATTTGTTGCTGTTTTGTTTAGTAGAGGAGTATGTATACCTAATTACTTGGAGTTGAATTTTCAATTATGCACATTTTAACAATAGAATTTCATAACTGTTTTAATAAGTTCCATTCTCTGAAGTATTTTCTATAAACTTAACTATGCATATATTCAAATTTACTGTAATCTTGGCTAGCATCTTAAATGGTTGAAAAAACAAAACATGCAATAAATTCATAATAAAGGGAAAATGCAGTAACTACAATCTGCTGAAGAAATGGTCAAGGTAAGCCAAAAATTCTCCTCCATCTGTGTTTCCAACTTTTGAAGGAAAAGAGGCTGATGTCGATGCTCTGGAAAATGTAGAAAATGTGGTGTTGGAGCACACAGATCAAGAGGGATTAAAGGAAATGAAAAATCTTTTAATTGATGGTAAGCACTTCACATACCAAGGTAGCCTTTAAAGGATTTATAACTACACACATTTGTACTTTCTTAACTTTAATAATTCCACATATAATTTTCACCTATATTTTATGATAATAAAGATATTGTCATACCTGCTTCTTTTATTTCGTGATAATAAAGATATTGTCATACCTGCTTCTTTTATTTCTCAGGATGAAATAGTTTGAAGCAAATCTATTTTATACATCTGCATATTTGAGTATTTCATGCACAGTTACAGTTCTCTTCATGTATTTTTTCTTAACTACATTGATTAGTACAATTTTAAATTTCCTTTCATCTTTAAAATGTCTTAAAGCCTGTTGAAAAAAATAATGGTTGCACATTTTATTTGTGATATTTATTTTTTGTAATGATATTTGAATATATGTAATTGACAGCTATTTCTCCTTTTGCCCCCTTTTTAGTCATTGACTTACTGAAAAAAATGTTATTTAGTAGTTGTTTTACAGTCATTATTCTGTTGTAGCTGTCGTCTGATTTATCTTGTTCCTCCACTCCCATATTTCTTATGGACTTACATCAGTTCTAACAGCTAAATTATTTTTAAATAAAAAACTTCAATGTCCAATACATTGCATTCCATCAAGAAATATATATCAATTTTATCTTTTTAGCAAATAGTTTCAGAGATGTCCCCATATTATTTAAGTAACCATTACCACCTCACACAATTTGAGATGCTATTATAAGTAGTTTATTTCTATATATAATTTTTTTCCGGGTCCTGGAAATTGAACTCAAGGTTTGAGTACTGTCCCTGAACTTTTTGTACTCAAGGATAGCCGACTACCACTTGAACCACAACTCCACTTCTGGCTTTTTGGTAGTTCACTGGAGATGAGAGTTTCATGGACTTTCCTGCCAGCAATGGCTTTGAACCACAATCCTCAGATTTTAGCCTCCTAAGAAGCTGGGATTACAGATGTGAGCCTAGTATATCTGTCTATTTTAAAATATTTACATGTGAACCTGTGGTGCATTCAATTTACATTTTCTTTCAGTTCATGGGAAGATTGAAATTGAAAATCTTCTGGATGGAGTAAAAGGT